TTCCACGCTGCTGATGCATCCAGTGTGCAGTAGGGGTTAGTCATAATACAAAACTTTTGAAGATTAAAGATCGTTTTACTGTCATTGCACAGGTGTACAATGACACAGACTTTGTGCTCACTAAAGACAGCTCACGTAAAAAGGTAGTAAAATAGGGTAAAATAAAATAAGGCCTAAATAGATGTCGCTCACACTCTCTCTCTCACACACACACACACACACACACATGCACGCACACGCGCACGCACGCACACACACACACACACACTCACACACACACACACACACACTCACACACACACACACATCTTTTGCACACACAGCCAGCTTAAGGTGCAAACATGTAAAAGTATAAGGTAAACACGGTAAGAAGACAAGTCTAATCTACAAACTGAAAGATAAAGTGAACATAATACAAATGTAGACAGTCATATGTGAAGGTATCAGGATTAACTATGAAAAGGTGCTGTAGTTCACTAAAAATGCAACTAAAAATATGCACAGCTGTAAATGATAATTAATCAGGAATTGCATTATTTGCACCATGTGATCCAGCATTTTATAAAATATCTTGCAAAAGTGTTGTATGTACCAACGTAATGTGATTCCAAATGAAAATGTTCAAACATTTATTTTTAGTTAATGCCGCCAGTTCCAGATCGATGGGATAAAGACGGAGCGGTAGTGCACATCTACCCTTTCTAATTCTGTTTCTGTAGATCAAAGTGTAAGAAATATGAGACAAATTTGAGAGGGTTAGAGACAAAAACACTAATAAAATGAGAGACTAAGCACATTGTGACTAAATTGTGATCAGATTTACATGTAAAACTCACAACACCCTCATACCCGACATTTAGAAATGATTACAAAAGGTTGCATCTGGAAAATTAATAGATTTTCTTGTAATTTTGTGTTTGCAACTTGAAGCCAACTGTCGTATTCAGCGAGGTGCTGGCTTTAACTGTAATTTGAAACTATTCTGCAAAATTCACAACACAATTTATGTTCCTCAAAATGATCAAAGAGTCATCATAGCATATGGAACCAAGAGAAAAGTGTGAGAAATGTGGAAAAGAAAAACTTTTGGTGGGGTTGATGATGTGTGAAATAACATCTTGGGTGACTGAAAAAAAAAAACAAAGAAAGGATCAATTCTGTTTCAAATTGCTCATTTGCTAACTATTATAGATACACGTAGAGTATTGTCTTGGTAAAATGTTAGTAAGAAACTCTGCATGACATTCATTCAAATATTGTATAAGTACATTTTGAATGGAATCACAATTATTTTTCATTTTGACTTTAACAGAAGTGTCCCATGTCTCATTTCAAGGTTTTTCCTATTTAAAAAGTTTGTATTTTCTTGCAGTTTTGTGTCTCTAACCAGTAGCAAAGACACATCATTGAACTTTGTGAGACACCATTTTTTTTAGGTAGTCACAGGCATTTGTAACTAGTGTCAAATTCTGCTCAGTTGAGTTTGTTTGAGTCAAAAACAAAAGTGTTAGAAAAGTGAGACAAGTTTGGGAGAGGGCTTGGAAACCAATACCACCATGTTGGGAGTGATTGGAGTCACAGAGATTCTGACATTCTGGGCATAACTGACAACTTTGCAAACCAAAAACTTTAAAGAATAAATTGTGGCATGATAATTGTGCAACTTTCATGCAAATGTCACAGTTGAGTTGAAAAGCATTCAAAGTCCGGTGCAACAGTCTGGAATGAGCGATCACTTCGACTTTGATATCTGTTCTTCGGAACTTCTAGTAGGTTCTGGTGTGTGGACCTGAGGATTCGGGTCGGAGCATAAGGCTTTAACAGTTCAGTAATATAGGGAGGAGCTTGACCATGTGGAGCAGGCATGGGGAACCCTGGTCCTCGAAGGCCGCTATCCTGCATGTCTTTGCTCCAACACTTCTGATTCAGTAGTTGATTCACCTTTTTGGCAGCTCATCAAGCTCTGCAGAAGCCTGTTAATCACCTGCTGATTGAAATCAGGTGTGCTGAAGCAGGGTTGAAACTAATGTGCTGGATAGCGGCCCTCGATAGACCAGGGTTCCCCACCCCTGATGTAGAGCATTGAAAGTTATAGTCAGGATTCTAAAGTTAACGCATAACCAGTGCAGAGACATTAGAATAAGAGTGATGTGTGCTCTTCTGTTTGCTCCAGTTAGGAGCCTCGCTGCAGAGTTCTGAACCAGCTGAGGACGGTCAAGGGCTTTTTTGTTAAAATATGTCACGAGAGTCTAATTCCATCTTTTAGTTCTTTTTAAAACACAGAAAGGTTTTATTTACCTGCAACGTTTAGTTTACGCCTGCAAACTTCCTCAGGCTGACGCTGATGGTGGCGTCACTTCCTTCTCCGTTTATCTGCGGGCAGCAGAGGACGTTGTCGCCCTCTGCTGCCCGCTCTCCCCTCTCTGACGATGCAGTCCCATGCGCGATCCAACGAGTAAACTCCATCGTCCCTGTTCATGGTCCCACATCCACATCTCCTTATCTCGAAAGCTTCTTTTATCCATCTTTTGTATTTCTGTTGTTCGGTGTTTATGATCCTTGTGTTGTCCCAGTCCATTATATGGTTTTCTCTTATGCAGTGATCTGTATGGCTGACTTCTTTATTGTACTTTCTGCTTCTTCTTTTGCTGCTCTTGTGTGTTTTCGACTTGCCTCTTTCTCGCACTCCTTTCTATGTTCTATGGTTCATGTGCTGAGTTGGCGTCCGGTTTCTCCAAATGTATGTTTTATTGCAGAGTTTGCATGGGATTTCGTAAATGACTCCACATTTAAGTCCAGCTGGTATATTGTCTTAAATGTGGAGTCATTTACGAAATCCCATGCAAACTCTGCAATAAAACATACATTTGGAGAAACCGGACGCCAACTCAGCACATGAACCATAGAACATAGAAAGGAGTGCGAGAAAGAGGCAAATCGAAAACACACAAGAGCAGCAAAACAAGAAGCAGAAAGCACAATAAAGAAGTCAGCCATACAGATCACTGCATAAGAGATAACCATGTAATGGACTGGGACAACACAAGGATCATAAACACCAAACAACAGAAATACAAAAGATGGATAAAAGAAGCAATCGGGATAAGGAGACGTGGATGTGGGACCATGAACATGGATGATGGAGTTTACTCATTGGACCGCGCATGGGACTGCATCGTCAGAGAGGGGAGAGCGGGCAGCAGAGGGCGACAACGTCCTCTGCTGCCCGCAGATCAACGGAGAAGGAAGTGACGCCACCATCAGCATCAGCCTGACGAAGTTTGCAGCCGCAAACGAAACGTTGCAGGTAAATAAAACCTTTCTGTGTTTTAAAAAGAACTAAAAGATGGAATTAGAATTTCAACACAGCAAGAACTCACCAAAGATGTCAAGGATGTGTTACAATAATCTAGACAGGAGGAGACAAAGTCATGGATAACCATTTAAAGTTCATGTTTTGACACCAACCTTCACAGTTTGGAGATATTTCTTAAGTGATAAAAACTGTTTTGGACCAGTATTTTTGAGTGGCCTTCCCCTGAAGGTTTATGCATTTTTTTTACATTTTTTTTCCCTCCAACTAGTAAACTGGCAATAAAAGTGCTTTCCTTCAGCTCTCCTGATAGTCATTAACTGTCACCCAGGTTTGACTTTCCGTCTCCGTTTTCTTGCCTACTCCATATAAAAGTGAGCCATGCAGGTGGTCTGACAGATGGTCATTTAGGCTTTAGGGCAGGTACATAAAAATGTTATCCACAGCTTGCCTCTACTCTCCAGAATGTGGGTTTCGCCCTCCCTCATTTTGCAAATCATCTTTTTTTTTTTTTTTTTTTTTGCATGTTCTCCCCTCAGACTGAACTTCTGTTAGAGGCTGCAGAATTCAGTCATTAGCTGTGAGACATCTGGCCTTACCGCATTTAACTATCCTCATGTCTAATGCAATCAGAATATGAACAAGTATCTCTGCTTTTATTCTAATTTTGTCTCATTTGATGCAAATGAGACATCAGATGCAACAATTTCACAGTTATTCATACTCGTTTAGTAAATGTCAGTAAACAGCATATACATTTTTCATGAGTGAAGTAGTTTAAACATGTATTTAGATCAAACACAGAATCACTCCCGGTGCATTTTAATGATTTTTTTGTAGGTTTGCAGGCTAGTAGAGGTGGAGGTCACTGATTTGATTTACTGCACAAGTCACAAATGTGAGGGAATAAAGGCAAATGCATCAAATAGGAGCAATGGCTGATGAGAGGAAATGAAATAAATAACATGAGAGACCTGGTTGTAGAAAAAGGAGAAAACCTGGCATGATGCCTGAGTGGTTTTCAGTTTGTACAAATCCTACTGTTGTTATAGCTGTCATTGAAAAACGAAGAAAACAAGGCTGCAGAGATGTTAGGATGATGTGAAGATGAGTAAAAAAATGATGAAATGGAAAAGATGGGGAAAGAATTTATGAGTTATTCCCAAAAGCCGATGCCATAATCTCCTCAAAGGCACACTGTATGCATGTAATATGTAAGCAGCAGGAGCACCTAAGCATGAAATACAGAAATCCATGGAGTCACAGAAAATTTGCAAACAGGACTTTTTGTGCTGGTCTCTCCCAGAGGTAAACATTGTGTTGCTGACCTTTACGCTTTTGAGCTTTTTATATATTCAGAGCCAGTTCCACTCAGCTTTCCTGCTGCCAGTCTCCACTGTTATCCTCTCCACTTTCATTTCCTTTTTTCACCTTTTTTTTCCCACAATCGTTTCTCCACCTATAAGCCTAATTTTAAGGCTAAGAGTACATTTCTTTTCCCTACATCATGTGAATGGATCCTTTCTCATGTGATTCCTTGTTTCCATGTTGCATTAATTCAATAGTGTTTATCTGGCTGCTGCAGAAACAGATTTCCAATCTGATGTTACACCTGATGTTTGATAATACCGCAGTACAAATAAGCTCCTGCATCACCCTCTAATAAAAGCTTCTCTCTACCTCTCAGAGTGAAGACGTACCCGAAGGACTCTGCCTTACTGGGTAGAGACACGGTTCGCGCCCTCATGTACTACGCGCTGAAGGTCTGGAGCGACATCACACCTCTGAACTTCCACGAGGTGGCCGGCAGCGACGCAGACATTCAGATCGACTTCACTAAGGCAGATCACAATGATGGTTACCCCTTCGACGGACCTGGTGGAACAGTGGCTCACGCATTTTTTCCTGGTGAGAGGTTCACAGCCGGGGACACTCACTTTGATGACGACGAGGCCTGGACCTTCAGGTCACCAGGTGAGAAAACTCATTTTGCTGTAATGTGACTGAATTAATGTTTGAGGTGCATTAGCTGGGACTCAACTGTTAATACGCCAATGTCTCTCTTACGTTACACTTCAGTCTATGAATTTTTACCTGGAAAGGCTGGTTATATTATCTCAGTATTGCTGTGCTATGTTCAAGCACTTTTTCACTTTATTACAGAAATAGAAATATAATTTAGTGACACTTTGATAAATAAAGTAACACAGATATTTTTCCCAGTCAGTACATAATGCTCAGCATTAATATGGCACCTGTTTTCCTGCAGGAGTAGCTACCAGCACATTTAATAGACTTAAATGCTGTTTTTGAGTGGAAGTATTCTAAGTATTTAGTATGCAATACCAGGACTAAGTAAAGTAACAGAATATGTTACAAAATACAGTATTTTGTAACTAAATACACTTACAAAGTATTCTCCCCAACACTGGAAATAACAATATGACATGGTAAAAAGTTAAAAAATCAAATGAAAGTGGATTTTCCATGGTATGGAAAATACGGCCCAATGAAAATACATTAATATTGAACAAACAGGAAAACATTGGATAAAAAGGAGCTAAAACATCAGGAGAACCAGGGGAACTCAGAGGATCACAAACTAGAAACAGCTGAGCTGACTACTGATGAAAAACAGTCGTGCAAAATCACTCACCAGAGCTGAAAGAGAAAAGATCCCCAAACAACAGAGGCTGAAGTCTCAGTTGTTTCAAAACGACTTGATTCATTAGCCAAATGTACACATTTCTGCTAACAGAAAACAGCAATGTTCAGTGCTTTGCTGAAACCAACATAAGAGTTTATTATAAGACACATAGATGTTTATTAATGTTTATAATAGAAGGATATTTCATCTAATCACTTTTATCCCAGAAACCTAATCTACTTTTTAATTTTTTTATACTTTTTATTTCTCACTGGAATAATAAATTATAGTAAATTACACATAAATCTTTGTAAAACAACGGTTATGGTTTCTACTCTCCATGTTGTGTGTTTGCTGCCGGGTCACTGGGATGTTTTCTTACAACAGGAAAGCACGATAAAGATTTCTGGGATGTCACTATTAGAATAAATACACTCTATAGGATTTTGTCTGAATAATTTTAAAGTCATTGATCAAGTGCACGACGATCATCTTGATTGAAAGCAGTGAGATCCTGGGTCCTGGCATTTATGAGCTTGTTACTTTGACACGTACCACCCACTGAAACGTTGTTTTAGTCCAAACACGGATTCCATGACAACAGCAGGACAACATGTCACACCGTTTCACTGTTGGAAAGCCTTTTCTTAGCTTTCTAACTTCTGTATTAAGGAAAATGACTCATAAACACCATGTTTTATGTGTTTTCACAATAAGAACGTAAATGACTTGTCTGAATAATCCTTCCTAATCCCTCCACATACAAACTTCTCATAAAGAGCTACTGATCAATTCTTCAACAACCCACTGGAAGATTCATGGCTCAACATAAGTATCAGTGTATTTATGTAATGACTTTTTTATTTATATGATTTAGTTTAACTGCAAAAGGATAACATTTTATGTGTGCTCCAGATGGACATTTCAATTTTGGTTTTTGAGTAACGGTAACGTGCTTCAAGGCAGATAAGAAAACTATCTGTGTCCACAAACAATGACAGTCCAGCAGAAATCCTATTTAAACCTGACATGTTCGTTTTTTGTTAAATAATAATTTCTAACAGTTTTCTCTATAATGGATTGCAGAACAATTCTGACAAAGATGAATAAAATAAACCCAGGAAAATTATTTATTATTACTGACAAATCTGAAGCAACTGTGTGACGCTCACTATCCTGTCAATATGGACAAAAATCTCTGATTTCCAGTACCTTGTTGCCATGCCACAAAGGATTAAGGCAGTTCTGAAGGCAACAGAGGGTCCACCCCGGCACTAGCAAGGTGTACCCAATAATTGGCCAGTGAGTGAATCTTTTATGATCAGGGAAGGCGGTGGCTGGCACCAATTCTTATTTCAATTCAGTTAAGTTTATTTATATAGCACCAAATCAAAAATGTTTGTATTTATGTTCCTGCAGAATCAGAAGAGTTTTATTGCCACATGTGCGAGAAATCACAACATTAGCAAATTGCTGCGGTACTTGGTTAAAAAAAAAAAAGAAAGATAAAAATGAGAGATAAGCAAATATAGGATAATATTATCATGATAAAATAATAATATAAAGTGGCGATATTTAGAGAAACAGCTACTAATCAGAGCGGAAGGTAAAACAAGTAACTCCGTTTATTATTTTCTCAAATTCCAGCTTTCATTTATGCCGTTAAATTAAAGCTGAAAGACCCAAAACCAGCTTGTTTCGTTCATAAATTGTGATTTTTGTAAAACCAATTCTCCACCTAATTTACTTATTATGAATTCCAATTATAACCTGTTCGAATTTATTGTTGGCTTTGTTTATCCTGTCAGAAGCATAAACAGTGTGATGATTTCAGTCAAAGGATCTTGTTTAGCCTGTTTTGTTTAGAGCTATGTGGGTTAATAAATTGCTTGGTGCCAATGTTCTTCTAAATGATTTGTCCAAATTTCTCTCATCGGGTTGCTTAGAAAGAGCTTTATTACCTGCCGGGGGAGAGACGTGCGGGTCTGGAATGAGGACGAGGTGACGGCGGCTCTGAAAGGAACTCAATCAGATCTGCCAATCAAAAATAGATGAGCTCATATTAGAAATATTCATCATTTTTAGATGGAAAACAGAGAATGCACAGCTCTGTAGTCACTCCTAATGACTGATTCATTATTCATTTGTTCACTCATTAACAATACATTAGATAGTTAATCCTCCAAAGCCTTCATCATTCATTCACCTTTATTTCTGCAAAGCTCTGCGTCCGTAATGATTTATTATTCTTAAGTATAAACTTCTGAGCATCTTCTGTGTGTTGGATGTCACAGCAGGAACTTTTTCTTATCACTTACCATCATCCTCATTTCTATCCACAGTTTTTTATTTTTTTTATTTATTTATTTATTTTTGCTTATTTCCTTTTTTTCTGAGAGGGTTAGGGTTAGTGTGTGGAAGCATTACGGCTCCATTCATCCAGATGAAATAACTCTCCGGCTCTTGGAGAGTACAGATGCGTTTTTCCTCCCCTCCTCCCTATCTTATCCCAAGGCTCTTTGTCTGTCTTTGGGTGTACGGCACTTCTGCATTTTTTCTGGAAAATGGAAATTATTAAAAATAGACCTGGTCAGTTGGTCTCTCAACGCGATTGACAAAATTTTTTCAACGATGAGAACGGGCTCCCGGATGCCCCTCTGGGACAGAGCCAGCTGGGTATATCATGGACTCCTGGAAACAGTGGAACCTGATCTGCCTCTCTCAACGGTCTGTAGAGGATTCTGAAGATGTCTGGATATTCGTGGTGTTGGTGTCAGGTTTCTTGCTTTTGGGCCTGAGTGGTTACCTGGCTTACCGGAAAATTAATAAACTGTCAAGGAATATTGGCTCAATCCCGGAGCTCAGGGATGGATTACACCGCGCTGTGAATGCACAAACTCATATAATTGTCGAGATGAGTCGTAAGCTTGGAACTTTGGCTGAGATTTTGACTCTAGTACAGAAGGTGGATTCGATTAAGGAGAAAGCTGATGATCAGCGTGGATTGGGATAGATTAATTACGCCATTATTGGATTTAGAGGGTTTGAGGACCAACAGAACTTTAAGACAGAGAGGAAATTATCTCTGGCCCCAAAGCAAGTTCTTATCTCAATCTGGTGCACTGGAGCCTGTTAAGTTGAAGTGATTACTCCCCCTCAGAAGAAATGTGGAATGCTGCCATCGCCATGGCAACTCAGTCTCCCTATCCCAGCCTGGGCGGGACTGCGACTGGTGAAGGCCATTGAATCATTTCCAGGAGTCACTGTGCTTTCTAAACCCAACTACCTCCCTCCCCTGTCCAAACGGAGGTGACGAGCGCTGCTTATCGCGGCTGCACGCACTGATGATTGGAGAGTCCCCAACCCTACCTCCCCACCTAGTGGACACTTATGTTGTGTAATGTCTGAAGTCTGTTGCATTTCTGTCTGAGGTGTTTTTTGCATAGCAAAGCTGCCCTCCCTGTGGAGGGTAACTCTGAAGTGCCTTTCTTTTCCCTCCACCTGACCCAATCCTCATATATAAACAGTCTGATCTCTAAGGTAGCGTGACTCGGGTTGCGAATGACCACAGTCACCAATTCTTGTCATGTGTCTTTGCCTATGTATGTCTGATCTCTGAATTGTGTGTACTGAAACTCTAATTTCCCTCTGGGATTAATAAAGTATCTTTGAATTTGAATTGAGGGATCTAGTCTCCTGAATACATCAGCAGGCAGGGACTGTCTCAGTGCTGTCACACAAATGACAGCATTAATCATCACTTCTCCTTTTCTCTGACTTGCTTTCTTAGCTTTTTTCTTTCATCTGAATGACTGAACCTAAATTGACCCTTCATTTCTCTATTCATTGCCTGTGTTTGTCCCGTCTTTTTAGAGGACGGGTGGGCAGCGGAGAGTCCAAATGATCACAAGGAAGGCAGAGAGAGTGGTGAATATGGGCTCAAACATGTCAGTTTTCTAAAAGAATGAGTGAAAAAAGGGAGGAAAGTTGGTCATGAATGTCCTCAATCAAACACACTAAAACTAGTTTCATAAATATAAGATAAGTGAAGTTTTTCTTTCAAGTGTAAAACTTTTTCAACATTACAGGCCGAGCATTTCTTGAAGGAATGTATGTTAGTCAGTGTCTTTCATGCAAGATTTTTTTTACCCTATTGATGGCTTTGACGTGGTATGGGATCTACGGTTGTCTTTCAAACTGTCTCTGCATGCTATTGAACAACAAACACTGTGATGTACTTGTCGCTATGGATGTCAGTCAACGAGGCAGTCCTCCATGCCTCATCAAAGAAGATGCAAATACATCCTTTTTCTAAACTCAAGTACCT